GATGCTGAGAAACACCCTGGCAGCATAATTCTCATTTGATTCTTATAATAAAATTATGAGCAAGAATATTAGCATGTAAATCTCCAAGGTGGAAATTTGACTAGAAATATATGGACTGAGATTTTATACTAAACTCTCTAATATAAGTGAAATGTAATTACACACACACACACACACACACACACACACACACACACACTATGGTCTCCCATTAAATTAACAAAATAAATGTTGACAAAGGGATAACAAAGCTAATAGTACCCACATTGCTTTCTAGGACTGGAATTGATGTTCGTCTTTGGGAAAACAACTTGTTCATCCCAGGCTATGGTAGGAGGTACCGTTTAGTTTATGCACTCCCTTGAGCCCAAGCTGGCAATGCATAGAATGCTATAGCTGGTGAAAGGGACCAATGTTTTGCCATCCTAAAGCTGTGCCATTGTTTTTAAGCTAGTTGTTAAGAAACAAAAGATGCAGAAAGAACATTTGACCCTCCCCCTTTCCTGCTCAAGAGGCTCAGATGACAAGACTTGCTCCAGAAAGGAAACCACTTTAGCCTAATTTAAAGTAATTTTGCTACATGGGATGGCTCCCAGCAGGAGCCTAGTAGCAGATTGTCCTCGGTGTCCTATTGTTTCTGGGTTGCCCAGCAAGAATTCCCAAGCCACGTGTGTTCTGCTCTTCCTCAACTACCTATAAATTGTCCATCTTCAATGTTGAAGTCTGAGAGCCTGTCCCCCCCTTTCTCCTTTTTCCAATATGTACCCAATTTTGTATCACTGTCTTTAGAATTTTCAGGCTTATGTGAATTCCCTGTAGGCACATATTAAAATTTGATTTTCTCCTGTTAATCTGCTGTATGTTATTTGAATTATTAGCTCAGCTAGAAGAAGGTAGAAGGTGGGAGTGAAAATATTATTTTTTAGCCCCCCAGCCCATTGGCATGGATATGTTTCTTCAATGCACTCACTTTTTTCAGCCTTTCTTTCATATCTATTCTCTGCCTGAACTCCCAATTCCTGTATAGACCTGTGGACTGATGATCTTTTGAAATGTATTATCTTAGCTGACCGCATCACAACTGTGAGACAAAATGTCTTATACATACACCCTCTTTATTAAAAAATGGGATCAATATAAAAAGACACTTTCCCATATCTTATCTGGGACTCTATGGGAATAATCCAGTTGGGTTCACCCTCTGCTGCCTTGGGCAAACACACAAATGCCATGTGTGTGGTGGGGGGAGGGGAGGAGGATGGGTTGTAGAAAAGAGAGAAGGGAGAGAAAAAAATTATCTATACTCAAAGGTCTTTCAAATGTTGGATCCTTACAATTAGTAATCTCTTTCTTTTATTCTAATCCTAATCAGTCCAATCAAATGATGGGTGGGAGGAGCACAGGAGTGAAGTTTCTTCTAATTTTGCTTTCGTAGTAAAAAAATGGGAAAGAACATGGATGTCTACTAGGAGGGGAAGGACGAAAGAACATTGTGAAGTGGCCACTTTGTGGACCTTGATGCTATCTCTCAAATGAATGAGTGTGGAGAGTATAGATCAGACACAAAATGCTGTTGCTCCTGTGTTTAGTGAAAGGAAAAAATAAAAATGGATACAAAACTGTGTTTTCTGCTGTAACCCTGTAAAATGCAAAGGGACTGGCAAAGATGCTCTTTCTTCTTGAGCAAACTAATTATTTAGTTGATTTTAGAGAGGGAGGATGGAGAGAGCGATGGTGAGAGAAACATCAATGTGAAAAAGCTACAAGGATTGGTTGCCTCCAATATGCGCCCCAACCAGGGATCAAACCCACAACCTAGGTATGTGCCCTGACCAGGAATTGAACCAGCTACCTTCAGTGCACGGGACAATGCTTCAACAAACTGAGCCACACTGGCCAGGGCTTGACCAAACTTTAGACAGGCTCCACCGAGCCCTCTTTTTTTTTAAAAATATATTTTATTGATTTTTTTACAGAGAGGAAGGGAGAGGAATAGAGAGTTAGAAACATCGATGAGAGAGAAACATCGATCAGCTGCCTCCTGCACACCCCCTACTGGGGCTGTGCCTGCAACCAAGGTACATGCCCTTGACTGGAATCGAACCTGGGACCCCTCAGTCCCCAGGCTGATGCTCTATCCAGTGATCCAAACCAGCTAGGGCTAGACAGGCTCCACCAAGCCCTCTTTTTGAGAAGGCCTCAACTTTGGCCTATAAAACTATAGATTCTCAGTACAAATGATTTCACCCACTCACAGCCACACTAAAAGATGACTAAACTCTAACATAGTTTATAACATCTCAAGGCTGACCCTGGGCCCACTTAAAAGGCCTGCCTGAGAACAAACCAACAAACAAAACCCTCAAGGCCTCCAAAATAATTCACTCTTTGTTCTGGCCAACACTTGAGCAAGGGCCCCTGACCTCCCTTTTCTAGGGCATTTGCTAAGCAGGGCTTACAACTGTAAACTTCCTTTGTCACTCTGAGGTGTATATGAATCCCCTACAACTCAGGAGTGTCTCTCAAGGACCCAAAAACCATTTCTTTGAAATGTAATCAATAAGAAGGATAGGGCTTCTGTCTCCCCGTCTCTGAGGAAGTATATAATCCTAAAGTGAATAATTGCCAGCTAGCAGATGCTATAAATGTTGGCTTAATCGCATTTACACTGATCAACTCCGTAATTTTTCACTTCCCAGAAGATGAAAAGGGGCAGTGTACTAAACATGACAGCTCAGGGGATCCCTGTGTGGTGGTGGCCTTACAAACTCAGAGACATAAAGTAACCACATAGGATGGTCCAAAATTAAAACTTTCTAACTAAAGGTTAGTAGTGGTGGGTAGTCATATCCTAGGCTGGTATCTTCCCTGACAAAGGCCAATCCTTACCTTGGCTGAACCTGTCTACTGACCTTTTGCATGTGAACATACCTTTTGAATATGAGGGTAAATTTCCTCTCCCCCATCACACACCTCACTGCACCACAGTGGAGACCACAAATCCCCTCATTGTTGTTGTTAATCAATCTTGTTAATTGTTGACTGTTAACTCTCCTATTCCCACAAATGTAAAAGAAGCATGGGTCTATTTATTTTACTTTTTTATCCAACCCCAGAGATATTCAGCTTTGCTTTCTCCTGCCTCCCTAAATCACCAATGGATTTCATGTAACCCCTTGGGCCTCTTTCTTTGATTGTAATGTACAAAGTAAGGTGCCAAACTGCCATTTCCTGGAGCGTTTTCTCAGTCCCTTGAAATTTGGCATCCCAGAAGATGTCAGTTTTGCTCAAATAAGCTCATAAAAATCCTCTACAGGTTTAAACATTTCTTACATGGACACCTGGTTCGATTAAGCTCCTGCTGTTTCCCCCATCCCATTCTCTCATTCTGTCTTTAAAACACCCAGTCAAGCCGGGCCAGTGTGGCTCAGTGGTTGAGCATCAACCTAGGAACCAGGAGGTCACGGTTTGATTCCCAGTCAAAGCATATGCACAGGTTTCAGGCTCTATTCCCAGTAGGGGGTGCAAAAGAGGCAGCCAATAGATGATTCTCTCTCATTATTGATGTTTCTATTTCTCTCTCCCTGTCCCTTTTTCTCTGAAATCAATAAAAATATATTTAAAACAAAAGAAAACAAAAAACACTCAGTCACCTCTGAACAAACTGAAGTTGAGTTCAGTTCACATTGGACCCTCTTTCATAATGCAATAGTATATTACTGATTACAGTCTCTCTTTACTATTTGAGCTAGTGGCTGGCTTTGTTTGTCTTTGACAGGTCCAGATGCTAAGGAATTGAAGCCCTCCATCACTGCATTTGTTTTAGGGCAGTGGGGTGATACTCATTAGAAATCATTAGCAAAAGCATTCTCTCTGTTTCAGAAAAGAACAATCTCTACGCATCACCATGATTACAAGTTAAATAAAACTTTGCTGGGAAGCAATCCTGATTTATGAATCCACATTAAACATCTAAGTACATCTGTTATGCCCAGCAAAATGGTAACTGTTTGGGTAATGATATCTTAGAGTCACAACTGATGCATATATTCCCAGTGATTTATGCATTTGGAGGGGTGGAATGTGTCATGGTGATTGACTATTACACTCAAATACTGGATTTTTACTGTGCCCTCTGTCCCTTCATTTTGTGCCTGAGAATCAGGAAGTGCAACCTTGTGCGGGGGCAGAATGGCTACCCTGGGAGATATATTTCAGTATGTCTTAGGCGGTATCCACTTGCCTTTGATTCAGCATTTTGAAGTATATCTCAGAAAAGATGAAAACTACTTTAGAAAGATGTACGATTCCAAGAGTTTGCTTTTAACTTCAAGTTGTTAGAAGTATTGACCGTGGGTCCACAACGCCCACCTCCCACCTCTCTCACCTTGGTCTTCTCTCACACCCCTTCCTTCCCTTGGAAGTGCGTTCTTAGGATTCATGACTTGAGTGTTTCTCCCATCTCTGCCCTGTGACTATCTGATGAACCTTTCACATTCTTCAGAACTCAGCTCAAGCCTGACTTTCTTAAGAGGCAGCCCCACCTGACCCCTCTCCCCTTTCCTCTTTGGTCCCTTCTCCAATTTCTGTTGCAATAGCAACCATCTCTGCCCACACATCTCTGATTCTGGTGTTTGTATTTCTTACAATACATAAGTTGCCATATGGTAGGGAACATTGCATCCCTGGTGCCCAGCACAATTTCTGACACAATGTAAGGATTCAGTAAGTAATTATGGAACAAACAACTGAAGCTCTCTTTGCTTCCAGAGACGACTTTATATTACTATTGTAATCCTGACTGAGATTTAACTTTTCTCTTTTATCCAGTACATGTATTCGTTCATGTGCACACATGGAACTGCAAGATGATTTAAGAAAAAAATCTCCAAAGAACTGTAAAAATACACATACAAGTCTGATTTCAGGCTCCCCACCCCTGCCTGGCCTGGGACCACTGAGGAGGGCTTTGGGAAGAGTTGCAGAGGCCTGTAACTTACATTCTGCAGCTGCACATGATTCTTCACCAGGTGCTCTGACTTTGCCATTGTGCTGGATGCTTTGAGACTGTAGTTTTTACCACTCTGCGGCTCTTTCAGCTGCTCTTGAAGTTGTTTAGCTTGTTTTCTGCAGGTTTAAATAAATAAATGAATAAATCATTACATACATGTATGCTATGCATATTGTTCGTTTCATTCATTCCTATCATCTGTCATTTACTAAAGCTAGAGGAAACTCAGTTTAATTCTCTTTTGAAAGGGAATCCTTCCCTCATTTTCAACTCTACCAAGAACTCCTTCCAATTTGGAGAGAAGGTGGTGTTGCCCACCATCACCCAGGGACTCACGCCCAGCAGTGTTCTGAAGGCGGAAAGAAATATAATGGATGGTCTCTGCCCTCATGGATGCAAAGGGTCCCTCACCCTGAGTGGTCAGCTGCAAAGAATTGGAAATGTTCTGGAGAAGTGACCAGTGGAAAATAGGAAGCTTGGACCTAACAGCCACATACATGTAACATACTACAAAGTCACATTTGTATCTTTACAAGTCAAGCGTGTGTAGCTTGATTGCATAGCTCGCATATGTACCATAATGAGTGTATATTTTCTTTCTTATAGTTTAGAACCAGCTCATTATTGTTATCATCAACCCTGCCTATAAAGATTTTTACCCCTTTGCAAACATTTTTTGTAAATAACAAAAACAGTTAACTCTTAAATAGTATCCATTATGTGCCAAACATCATTTTATTTTTTTAAGATGATTTTTATTGATTTCAGAGAGGAAGGGAGAGGGAGAGAGAGAGAGACAGAAATATCAATGATGAGAGAGAATCATTGATCAGCTGCCTCCTGCACGCCCCCTACTGGGGATCGATCCTGCAACCCAGGCATGTGCCCTTGACTGGAAGCGAACCTGGGACCTTTCAGTCCACAGGCTGATGCTCTATCCACTGAGCAAAACCGGCTAGGGCCCAAAATCACTTTAAATGTTTTCCATCTATCAATTCACTTATTCTTCACAATAATGCTATGAGATGAGGGATTACTTCGTACCCATTTAGATAAGAAATCTGAGGCACAGGAAGTTAGATTATTTGCCCACACTCACATAGCCAGGCAGTGCTATAGAGCTGGATGCAGACCCAGGCAGTGTGGCCGCGTATTCTGTACTCTTAACCGCCACTCAGAACCGGCAAAGCACTTGCCCGTGGACCCGCAGCTTCTCAGAGGGAAGGCTGAACCTACTCTCAGTGTTCGGACTCCAAATAAAGGACTCCTGCCTGCATACGTGGGCTGGCTATAGCAGCAAGATGCAACAGATCACTGCGTTATTAGCTGCTCTGTCCCAAGGGCTTTGCAGCACCTATCTATCAGCAGAAGACTCAGCACCAATAAAACAAGCAAACAAATAATAGCAAGCGAACAAAAACCTCTACAGAGTCATCTGCCCTGAACTCTGCCTCTTGCCCACGGCCCTGCCTAGGACAGAGCTTTGGTGGAGCAGAGCGCTGGCCTTGCAGGGAGCCTCCAGCAGGCTGCTCTCTGCAGAGCTGGGGCTCATGTCTCAGAGGGGCTGGGACTTGCATCTGCCACCCTCCAGTTTCGTTTGGATTTCCTAAATCAAGAGATCGATTTCCTAACCGTCCCTGGGCCTCAGTTTCTTCATCTGCAAATGGAGTCTGTAAAAGCTATCTTCCATGCATCCTGTGGAAACTAAACGTGAGAGCGCATGCGGAATGCTGAGCTCCGCCCCGGCTCACCAGTTAGCAAGCGTGCACGGGCAGATGCTGCAGAGGAATTAGAACACTGGCTCAGAGAGCAAAGAAAAGATCGTATGAACTGTATCTCTCCGCATTTGCCACGGGATTTGGAGGTTTTGAATTTGCACCAGTGCGATGCACTCTATTTAAATATTTCTTTCATCTTTTCAATTATTTGGGGGGCTTTTATCTCCAGTACTCTAAATTGCTTTAATCCAGTTGTAATTATGTATCTACTTCCTAACAGCTCATCTGTAGCCTATTGTTAAAAATAAATCAATCACATCAGCATTTTTAGAAGCACATCATAGTCAAGAAACCCTATCGGGAATTCACTGAAGAAGCAAATGGAAAATCAGAAAGTTCCACCTGAGTAACTCATCATGAAGCAGCGAGAGGGGCTTACACTCCTAAGAATTAAAGATAAGAAACACTATCTCCCAGTGATTCCATAATTCGGTGTTTGGGAAATATAAATTTCTGAAGGAATTATTTATAAAATGTTTGAAAACAGTTCCTAAGTCCTTTTATCACTTACTTTCCTTTCCTTCCTTTTCACTCTCTGTCATCCCTGCCCTGTCCCAGGCATGTGCATTTTTGCTCTCATCCTTTCCCCAGTAACTCCTTTTATCACTTACTTTCCTTTCCTTCCTTTTCACTCAAGTCCCGACTCACCTGCCTCCTTCTCTGTCATCCCTGCCCTTTCCCAGGCACGCGCATTTTTGCTCTCATCCTTTCCCCAGTAACAGCCAACAGAGGAAATGATCGCTGTGCCATCAACCCTCTCATGAGAACACCTGCTCCGGGGAAGACCAGATGCAGGCATTGCACACTGGAACCCTACTAGCCAGCAAGGTCGGTATCAACATTGCATAGTAAACTGAGTTTTTTAAGTTTCTCTGGCTCAAATCTTCAGAAGGAACTGAAATGTAAGTAGTGGCATATCTGATGTCACAAGTCTGTTGGAAAACATTTGCAATGTTGCAGGTGGGGTTCCTGGGTTGTAGACACTGAGAAGGAGTGTGCAGGATTCTTACTAGGGAGGGCTCTTCGGATTGGCACCAGCAGAAGCAAAGGGCAGGAAACAGGTCTGGACTGGAGGAGAAGTTGGGATGCCATGCAGATCTCAGTAAATCCCACAGCGAGTTCTGGAACTGGCCTGGCCTTGCACTGCATGTTGGGGCAAAAGTCTACACTTTCAGAGCCTCACATTGAACCATCACCAACTGTGGTCTATCTCAGGTCAGAGTATGTGCTTGAGAAAAGTAACTCCTAGCATAACTGTGTTTTAGCAACTGGGGGACTAAGCCCTTCACCACTGAAGAGCATCATAGCAGCACACCCGAGCATTCGCTGCCGTCCTTACGGGGCTTTCTTTGTGGCCTACGATACCTTACTTCACAGAGTGATAACCCACGGTCAGAGCCGTTGGCCACCATCTCTGCTGTGTACCAGTAGCTCCCAATTGTTTTCCTCCTGTGTTTTCCCAGTTGTGATCATTATTGGTCCAGCCTTTGCTCCTGGAACACCGCCTCCCCCATCCCCTTCCATTCTTAGAGTTGAAACATGTCCTGCATTTCCAAAGTCTGCTAAGGACCCCTACAGCCAGTCTCACCCTGCTTACCCATGTGAGTTGAAAGTAAAAAGAAAACCTATGAGAATGTATAGTTGCATGTGAACCATATCAGCCAGATTGAAAGCTCAATTAATAGTTCTGTTAGCTACTTGGGGGAATGTATTGATTTATTGGGAATGATGAGAATTTCTTCCATTGGGTCCTTCAGAGTCGTTGGGTTTTAATTCATTCAGTTAGAAAACCTTCTAAATTCAAGAAGGTGTTTGTCACCTCTACCTCCTCAGCTAACAATTTGCTATAATATTCTATCTGCTGAGGTCATGCCATAACAAGGGTGACAAGAGAATGGAGAAAGGACCAGAGTGGTGGAATCCGGGGGATTATGGGGATTAAAACGTAAGTGACCAAGAGAATGTGAGCTTTTTTGTAACTCCTGACTTTCTCTCACCAGAAATAGTACATCCTGGTATACAGGATGGAGGTTCAAGTGAATTTATTTGGAAACCAATGATAGAGAGGTCCCACAATCCTAGAACTTGGGGCTTTCAAGATGAGGTAAAGAACGTACACACATGGAAACAACCTGACTCTATGAAAGTGAGGAAAGGTCAAAGTGTAGTCTGATCAAGGGTTTGGGAGGGGACTTGGGATTCCAGCAGTCAGCACAGAGAATACTGGGTCGGGGTGTTATAAAAATGCATGTTCACAAATAGGAAATGATTTAGAAAGTGGATTCAGTTCAGAAAAACTGTATACTTCCTATATTAAAAATATGTAAATACTGCCCTAGCTTGTTTGACTCAGTGGATAGAGTGTCAGCCTGCAGATTGAAGTGTCTTATTTAGTGTGTGAATGAATGATGATACTTCTACAAAACAAACCTAATACCTAGTTTTCTTTTAATAAAGCCTAACATTTATTTGATTCACACACACACACACACACACACACACACACACACACACACACA